AAAGCACACTAACTCATCTATCAAACACATGCAACACGTTGATATATAGAAGGCACACAACCTGATCTATCAAACACATGCAACACGTTGATATATAGAGGGCACACTAACTGATCTGTCAAAAACATGCAACACGTTGATATATAGATGGCACACTACCTCATTTATCAAACACATGCAACAAGTTGATATATAGAAGGTGCACTACCTGATCTATCAAACACATGCAACACGTTTATATATAGGAGGTGCTCTACCTCATCTATGAAACACATAGAACACGTTGATATATAGAAGGCACACTACCTGATCTATGAAACACATGGAACACGTTGATATATAGAAGGCACACAACCTGATCTATCAAACACATGCAACACGTTGATATATAGAAGGCACACTAACTGATCTGTCAAACACATGCAACACGTTGATATATAGATGGCACACTACCTCATCTATCAAACACATGCAACAAGTTGATATATAGAAGGTGCACTACCTGATCTATCAAACACATGCAACACGTTTATATATAGGAGGTGCTCTACCTCATCTATGAAACACATCCAACACGTTGATATATTGAAGGCACACTACCTGATCTATCCAACACATGGGACACGTTGATATATAGAAGGCACACTACCTCATCTATCAAACACACGCAACAAGTTGATATATAGAAGGCACACTACCTGATCTATCAAACACACGCAACACGCTGATATAGAAAAGGTACACTACCGTATCTCTCACACATATAGAACACGTTGCTACATAGAAGGCACAGTACCTGATCTATCGAACACATGGAACACGTTGATATATAGAAGGCACACTACCTCATCTATCAAACACACGCAACAAGTTGATATATAGAAGGCACACTACCTGATCTATCAAACACATGCAACACGTTGGTATATAGAAGGCACACTACCTCATCTATCAAACACATGCAACACGTTGATATATATAGATGGCACACTACCTTATCTATCAAACACATGCAACACATTGATATATAGAAGGCACACTACCTGATCTTTCAAACACATGCAACACGTTGATATATATAAGGCACACTACCTTATCTATCAAACACATGCAACACGTTGATATATAGAATGCACACTACCTGATCTACGAAACACATACAACACTACCTGATCTTTGAAACACATAGAACACGTTGATATATAGAAGACACACTAACGTATCTGTCGAACACATGCAACACGTTGATATATGAAAGGAACACTATGTGATCTGTCAAATACATGCAACACGTTGATATATAGGAGGCATACTGCCTTATCTATCAAACACACGCAACACATTGTTATACGGAAGGTACACTAACTGATCTGTCAAACACATGCAACACGTTGATATATAGATGGCACACTACCTCATCTATCAGACACATGCAACAAGTTGATATATAGAAGGTGCACTACCTGATCTATCAAACACATGCAACACGTTTATATATAGGAGGTGCTCTACCTCATCTATCAAACACATAGAACACGTTGATATATAGAAGACACACTACCTGATCTATGAAACACATGCAACACGTTGATATATAGAAGGCACACTACCTCACGAATCGAACACATGGAACACGTGATATATAGACAGACACTCTACCTCATGTATCAAACACATGCAGCACGTTGATATATAGGAGGGACACTACCTCATCTATCAAACACATGCAACACGTTGATATATAGAAAGCACACTACCTCATCTGTCAAACACATGAAACACGTTGATATATAGAAGGCACACTACCTCACGAATCGAACAGATGCAACACGTTGATATATAGAAGACACTCTACCTCATGTATGAAACACATGCGTCACGTTGATATATAGAAAGCACACTACTTCATCTATCAAACACATGCAACACGTTGATATATAGAAAACACACTACCTGTTCTATTAAACACACGCAACAAGTTGATATATAGAAAGCACACTACCTGATCTATCAAACACATGCAACACGTTGATATATAGAAGGCACACTACCTGATCTATCGAACATACGCAGTAAGTTGATATATAGAAGGCACAATACTTGATCTATCAAACACATGCAACACTTTGATATATTGAAGGCACACTACCCCATCTATCGAACACACGCAACAAGTTGATATATAGAAGGCACACTACCTGATCTATGAAACACACGCAACACGTTAATATATAAAAGGTACACCACCGTATCTGTGAAACACATGCAACACGTTGATATATAGAAGGGACACTACCTCATCTATCAAACACATGCAACACGTTGATATATAGAAGGCACACTACCTCATCTATCGAACACACTCAACATGTGATATAAAGAAGGTACATTACCTGACCTATCAAACACATGCAACACGTTGATATATAGAAGGCACACTACCTGATCTGTCAAACACATGTAACACGTTGATATATAGAAGACACACGACCTGATCTATCAAACACATGCAACACGTTGATATATAGAAGGCACACTAACTCATCTATCAAACCCATGGAACACGTTGATATATAGAAGGCACACTACCTTATCTATCGAACACATGCAACACGTTGATATATAGAAGGCACACTACCTGATCTGTCAAACACATGTAACACGTCTGATATATAGAAGACACACTACCTGATCTGTCAAACACATGTAACACGTCTGATATATAGAAGGTACACTAACTCATCTATCAAACACATGCAACACGTTGATATATATAGAAGGCACACTACCTGATCTTTCAGAAACATGCAACACGTTGATGTACAGAAGGCACACTACCTCATCTATCAAACACGTGCAACACGTTGATATATAGAAGGTACACTAACTCATCTATCGAACACACGCAACACGTTGATATATAGAAGGCACGCTAACTCATCTACCAAACATATGCAACACGTTGATATATAGAAGGCACACTACCTCATCTATCAAACACATGCAACACGTTGATATATAGAAGGCACACTACCTCATCTATGAAACCCATGGAACACGTTGATATATAGAAGGTACACTACCTGATATATCAAACACGTGCATCACGTTGATATATAGAAGGTACACTAACTCACGAATCGAACACATGCAACACGTGATATATAGAAGACACACTACCTCATCTATCGAACACACGCAACACGTTGAGATATAGAAGGCACGCTAACCCATCTATCAAACACATGGAACACGTTAATATATAGAAGGTACACTACCTCATCTATCAAACACATGCAACACGTTGATATATAGAAGGCACACTAACTCATCTATCAAACACATAGAACACGTTGATATATAGAAGGTACACTACCTGATCTGTGAAACACATGGAACACGTTGATATTATAGAAGCTACACTACGTGATCTGTGAAACACATGGAACACGTGGATATATAGAAGGTACACTACGTGCTCTGTGAAACACATGGAACACGTTGATATATAGAAGGTACACTACCTGATCTGTCACACACACAGAACACGTTTATATATAGAAGGTACACTACCTGATCTGTCACACACATAGAACACGTTTATATATAGAAGGTATCTGATCTATGTCAATAAATGTTATTCATACATTCATAACGGAATCAGTTTAACACAAAGAATTAACGTGACAACAAAATTTCGATTTCATCAAAACATTAATTGAAACAGTGAACATTAAAACATGTATACTACCAACAGAAATATGGGAACTATTGATTGGAAAGCAGCTATCGTTGAGGTGTACATTTACAATATATCTAATCAAAATAAAATTGCACATTATGCATGAAGAGCACATGATGCAGGTGCACACATAAACCAAAGGGTGTGCACCTCTAGGGGAACACATAATCACTAAAGCAACTGAGGTAACCACGGGCGTAAACTGCCTCCGTATCTCAATCAATAGACAAAATGGCGGCGTCAATGTCCCAAGTTACCCGAATGTTTGGCAAATTAAAAAGTGCACTTTTTCAACTGTTGGGCAAGTACCGTCAAACGGGCCGTGTTGCAATGAGACCTGAGCGTGGTAGGCTTAAAAACAACATCTAGACAAAATCGTCTCATTAATTGTCACTACGCAATAGATTCAAATCTGCTCATCTTATCAATAGAGAATTCCGTACAATAGCAGGAAGGCGAATTTCAACATCTACCTTGAAAACCGTTTATATGGACCCCGCCTGAAAGCAAGGCGTCCTGTGAAGGTGTGAACGCTTACCAAAGACGGCAAAGACTGGGGAAAGCCTGGGCAACACCAGTCGGCGAGGTAGAGGCGAGCGGTATGTCATGGCAACAATTCCTGACCATGATCGGTATAGGGGTGGTACTGTCATGGTGTGGGGCGGTATCAAACGTGACAGGCGAACTGATTTGGATATGTTGAATGGACATTTGACAATTATTGAAGATATGTATTGCATGTATTTTGAACTGCAAGATGACAATGCCAGACTTCGTGCTCAGGTTGTTACCGAGTATCTCCGAGAAGGCATACGTACGTCAGATTGTCCCGCTTAGTCCCCTGACTTGTCCCCAATAAAGCATCTGTGGGATGTTCTCGGGTGGAGAGTGTACGCTAGAGACCAGCACCCGCCAGCGTGGCTCAGCTTGGATAGTTCTTTAGGCGGAATGCCGGGCAATAGCAAGGCAACCGCACGCAAGTAAATCAACAGTATGCCATCAAGGTGTCGTGCATGTATCGCCCAAAATGGTGGACACACCAGATATTGATCTAAACGCCCAAAACTAATTTGACAGACATTTATCGCCATTATACTATCACTGGCGTTTCATCAGTCCCTTATTTTTGTCGGTAGTATATATAGACATTATTTTGGAAAGAATATATGTAGACTTAAAGCGAATATTGTTAATGACATTCGCACCTGAAATGTTGTAATCATATTTATGTAAAGCGCTTTAAAGTAGTTAAACTTACTTTGTGTGCAGAGGGTACCTGTTATCAGACAGGTGTAGATACATAGATAAGTGATAATCCCCATCTTAACATCTATGATCCTTTCCCTATTGTGTGAGGCTCTAAGCAGTACGAGTCGACCAGTAGGCGAGCACTGCGGCACGCCACAACAGATGGGGACGCAGCTCATGCAGATGTAAAAAAACAATGACACAGATATTTTTGACATCACTGTACGTTTCAAAATTGCGTTTGTCGGATGCTCGTGATGACAGTCACTGGATTATCTGGTCAAGACTCGATTATTTACAGACCGCCGTCATATAGCTGGAATATTGCTGAGTGTGGCGTTTAACAACAAACTAACAACAGCAGTGAACATAACAATTAGACAGAACTATTGTCATACAAGATACAAATTGTCTCTCTTTATCGTAAGTGTCTGGCCCGTACACAAACTTTTGACTTCCTTTTTACGTTTGTTCCATATTGACAATGCAAAATAATGACAGATGGTCATTTATGGAATTAATGTCGCGTCTTGTTGTTTGTTATTCTCTTGAAAATGTTTCGTTGTAAACTGTAAATTTCTCATTTAACTCGTCAACCGAGAATGTTTCGCAAAGCGCCATCATTTACATGACCAGCGTGTATTCTTACACTTCCAACTGCTTTTTCTTAGCATTCAAGAATGTTTTTGGCTGAAGTAGACTTTTTATAATCATATCCAAATGAATGATAAAAAGGATTAGTGACCTCATATATTTATTTTCACTTTTGTTTATATTTTAAAAGATTTTGAAAAATCGGAACTCCCTGCGTGTTAGGTTAGGAGAATTTACGTTTCAAGGCTTCACTTTTGGAATGAAAAACAAAACTTTCCGGTAGACTACACAAAATGCATATAATGAATAGCATATTCCATGTGTCTCGTGAAATATCATGTTTCTCTCATCTCGTGTCAGGGGAAGGGAGATATTTTCACTCCTGGCCTACCCCTCTCCTTTCTCCTTTCTCCTTTCCCCGTCACTCGATGAGAGAAACATGATATTTCACGAGACATATGAAATATCCTCTATATATTTTTCACTATTCAAAGAATAGAGACGTCTAAGAGAGTTAGTTTGATGTATAGTTAACCATGGTAGTTAGGTAGCACTCTACACATATACCGAGAGTCATTGCTGAGGTTAGTCGGCGACTTTACTTGATGAGGTTATTACTTATTATAATAACCGTGGTAGTTTGGTAGTGTCCAAGAGCGTACATTTCGGCCCTCATATGGTAGCACAATGTGATGACAGACGACAAAACTCTAGGGTGAAGTTTAAGACGACAGCAGCCATGTTTATTGTTGCAGGTTGAAATAGGTCGAAATAGTACACGTAATGGTAATCACGTGACAGAACACACACCGGGACTGAGTGGCCAATGTTCCCCGATGCGGAGACCAGCTCTGTCACTTACAGGAGTCGATGATCAGGGCCCGTCTAACCATGTCAGTCAGGATTTGTAGGTCATTGGCCCACGTGCATGTCTGGACGTGGGACCCGGCGACGTAAGGAGGTGTTAATTGACATTTAAGGATAGCGCTGGAGATTAAGGATCCTGTCCGGAGGGGGCTTTTGATTTGAAGGGATAGCCGAAGCTTTGCTGAATATATTAAACAGACAAAGGGCATAGAATTTCGGTGCACTTGGAAACATATTGAACCAATTAGGTATTGAAGGTAAATGAAGTTTTAAATAAAAGTATTGAAATGGTTTGAGCTATTAAAATTAAAGTATTGAAATGGTTTGCACTATAACAGTAAAATAAGTATAGATCACCATTGTACATAAGTATGTTCTCTGTTAACCTCAGTATGCTATGTTTTGTAGCTTTGGGTGTAAATAAAGTTCAGTTTAGATACTTCCTCCCTCGGTAGTATCCAATTACCTGGATTGTGATCGCTGTATTATCCTGCTCAACCTCCAGTATCTCAATGAATTCTTACATATTTGGATGACACACTTCGCATTTGGATGCCCCACTTCGAGGTGATTTGTAGCGCCGTCCCACTACTCAGAGAAGTTTCCTGTCATCTTTGGTGTTAATGATGGATGGTGTCCAATGAATGGAAGTTTGACGTCTGGTCATAATCGTGAACTTTTATCCGGCCAAAAACAAGTGCTGATCCCAATTAGAAATGGGAATTAACTGTAATTAAACTTGCGTATTTACCACAGTGGAATATTGTTTCTTGTTTGTAATCGTACTTAATGATTAATATGTTCACTCACTCATTGATATATAAATTAAACGTTTTCACTCAGTACAGAGTATGTGAATAGAGTTCACAAATTAGTCGTGTCGTTATATTTTGTGAAATGTTCACCAATTACTTGTCTTATGGGAGTCCCCCCCCCCCCTTTATCCACTGTTGTCTTTCCATCACCACGCTCGGGTGAATTTGTACCCATAACAATAGGTGATGGTCAAGTAGGGAAACCGTAATAAACCACCAGGCAGACTGGGCGCAGACACGATCATTGAAAATGCGCAGTGCGTCATGCATCGGGAACCCGTTTTAACCTCCAGTAAGGGGAAACCTCACGAATTCGCGTGTCGTTTTTAATTATCTTTTTATAGGCTATTTCCGATTTTCAAATTTAATTTTGGTTAAGAATTTGTGATGAAGTATGCCCTAAAGTATGAAAATCTGCAAAGTTGATATGTCCACTATGCTAGTGTGAATAACCATTCAAAACGCCAATTTGCTGAATTTAATGAGTACGAAAATCGATTCAGTGCGACACATATTTTATCTCTGAAGCCGAATAATTACATTGTTCTTCTTTCCCTCAAGATGAATCAAGTAAGTACCAAAAAGCGTGCGAACGATATTCCGTGTCTATTGTCTGAATTATTCTGTGTTAAACATTATGATCTTTTTCTACACAGCAGCAGATGAACTAGACATAGCACTGGATACACATCGTGAACTCCCCATCCGTTCTAAGGCTCCAGGTGTTCAGCACATGTAACCGATGACAGTTTAATGTGTTCTTTTTTTCATATGTCAAACTTTGACAGATATTATTTCTCATGAATGTATATGAATTTATATAATATACTAAACACCAAAAGAAACGCCACCCCATGTAACCTTGCATGAAAAGTTGTCATTTAAATATCTGGGGAATTTTTGTCCAAGTTTCTAAAATTTAACATTACCTTGTCCGGAAAAATGAAATTTGATGATAAAAAAAACCCAAAGCAGATGACAATAAAACCGATCGCCCAAACGCATCAAGGCAACAGCCACGGAAACCCGATGCACGTGAGTTCCGTGCAAATTGAAATGCACATGCGTTCCCCCATTTCTTGCCCTAAAAAAATCCACCCAGATCGGATGGCATTCATTCGTTATTGAATTGCTAAATCATGACAAGATTGACAAGAAATCAGCGACATCAAACCCTTGGACGATTGCAAGCTGGACAAACCACCCGTCAAGTAGCCAATGCATTTCAAGTCCACGTAAGGACCATAAACAGGCTCCAGCAACGGTACCAGACCACCAACACTACAGATGACCGACCACGTAGTGGAAGACCAAGTGTCATCACCCGACGACAGGATCGTCAGATTGTGCGACAGCATCTTCAAGATCACTTTGTTAGTGCTGCGGAAACTGCTCGACAGACCATGGGGACACACCAGCGACACATTAGTGCGGACACTGTGCGTCGACGATTAACGAACAGACACCTCCACTGTCACAGGCCACACCGAAGACCCATTCTGACACCACGTCATCGCCGGGACCGTCTTCAGTGGGCAACAAAGCACCAGCATTGGCGCCACCAGCAGTGGAGAAGAGTCCTTTTCTCAGACGAGAGCCACAGAGAGAGAGAGAGAGAGAGAGAGAGAGAGAGAGAGAGAGAGAGAGAGAGAGAGGGAGGGAGAGAGAGAGTCTGGCGACGCCGTGGAGAACGGTATTCGGATGCTTGTGTTGTTGAGAGAGACTCGTGGGGTGGTCCGAGCATCATGGTGTGGGATGGAATTGGTCTTGCACAGAGGGTCGGCCTTATGGTCTTCCAGAACATTGGTCAAGGGAGAGGCAATGGTGTCACAGTAGCTCGGTACACTGATCAAGTCTGGAGACCACACGCCATACTGTAACCGGTGTTTGTCCTCTCAAGGCAGCCGCCTTGCGTGGTAGCTATGCAGCTATCAGCACACTCCTATTCACAGAATCAACTATGAATAAATATAAGATATAGAATACAATTGAAGAATTGTGGGAAATGTAACTAACTACACACTATCATACAATGATTGACATTGCATACAAATACAGTATTTACACAATTATACAAATCAACGCATTCACTTAAAACATTCACACACAGAAAGAAGAAGGATGAGAAGCATTTAAAGTGTTTACTTAGCCTTATTTAATTATTAACTTAGCAATATGGTGACACAATCACCATACCAGAGATAAGCATGTTAATGATACTGAAATAACATTCTACATAACTTAGATAACATAAGTTATATTATTATACAAATACATACATAGATATTAGCTTGGAATTTTATAAATTACTAACCTTAACAATCGAATTATTTTTCCAAGATGCGTCCAAGTCCAAATTGTTGACTGACTTCTGAAATGGTGTAGTGTCTTGTGCAAGATGGATGAAAAGTGCACAGTTTGAGCAAACCAATGAAAACAAGGCTTTGGTTAGAACAAGAGAAGAAACAGTGACAAAAACATGGACCAACCCAACCACCCTCTACATTATAAGTAAACTAATCCAGAAGTCCACAAGTCCAACCTACTTTACTGACAACTTAAAATAATATTAAAGGACTTAAAGGACCTCAAATAGATAAAACATTGTACAACAAAACTGTATGTCAACACTTGTGTCTACCACAATACCTCATTTGGCCCATCGTCACAACCACGAGTTTCAGCATGATAACGCCCGTGCCCACACTGCGAGAGCAACAAGGAACTTCCCCCAGCAGTAAGAGCCTGCAGTATCGACAAGTGTGTATAGTACATTTGACCAAACCAGAAACAGATTCAACTAAATCAGAAAAAGACCGCATGTTCTTGAAATTGAAAT